AGGGTGCAGGGTGCAGGATCTATCTACAATAAGTTGCAGGGCAGGCAAAAGGAGCAGCCAAATTAATTGTCAGAGCTCCCGTAATTGCCCCGCTTTTCGCTGCACCAAAAGCCGCAGCGCCAACAACGTAATAAAAACTATCTACGACCCTCAGCTCGTGGCTAAGTAGGAATCGCGGCGAACCCAATGCAGCTTTCAGGTCAGGTCCTGGGAACAGGCTGTCTCTGTGTCTGTGTGTGTGTAGGATAGGGAAAATGGGATGGGGTGGGGTGGGGATAGTCAGGTTAAGGCCGGCCGAGCATAGCCCGTGCCCATGGCTGTGCCTGTGCCTGTGCCTGTGCCTGGGCGCTGCAGTAGAGATGACACGGTGACCTAAAGGCGACAACAGCCGCATGCAGAACGAGGCAGAAGAGGCACAGCCCCAGCGACGACGACGACGACGACGACACAATAAAAACCAACAAACAACACACAGAAATTGTGAGCTTTGTGCCATTCGCTGCTGCTGCTGCACTGCTGCTGCTGCTGGTGGAGCCACAGAAGCCGTGCTAATAAACAATGGACGGCCGCAGCGGAGAAATGGGTGCGGATGGGTGGGGAGATTGGTCAGGTCATGGAGTGGCTCAGGGAGTGGCTGAAGCGGCAAGTGGCAGACGCATCTGAGACTTCCTGCTGCTGCTGCTGTTGCTGCCGTTGCTACTGGATGTTTTTAGCTGTTTTACGCTTTTAGGGCAATTTGGGGACAACGTTTGCGTTTGCGTATTCGTATGCGTCTCCGTGTCCGTGTCCGTGTCCGTGTCCACGATGCCTTTGCAGGTGTCAAGTGCCAAGTGTGTAGTTTACCGCAAAGTGCTCGCTGCCCTCCATGAGCATGCGAATGTGTGTGTTTGTATGTCTGTATGCCTGTGTGCTTGTGTGTGTATGTAGCGGCCATGTTTTAGTTTTCATAACCAAGAGCGGTACAAAAAATAACAACAAAGAACATTTTCCATTCGAAAGCCACTGCGGCAGCCATAATGGCAGCTCCCTACCACATACAGCAGCAGCACAGAGTGTGTGAGTGTGAGAGTGCGAGAGTGTGAGAGAGGGAGAGAGTGTACACGGCCTTAAATTGTTCAATTCTAAGGCTTCGCAGCAGCATTTACGAGCGACAACAAACAACGGAGGAGCTGCCGGCACAAAAGAGGTCGTTAAATGCCAACGTTCCGTTCCCCTCCCATATATTGTTTGCCTTTGCCAGCGCACCAAAGAAGGCTTCTCCTCGCCACCGCCTCCGCCAGGCCTCAGCCTCTGCTGCGAGAGGAAACTTCAGAAAGGAGTGAAAGTTTCGCCTTTGAATTAAAGCCTCATCAGAGGCAGAGGCAGGGGCAAAGGCAGAGGCAGAGGCGTATCTGTTAAAGCACTAGAAATCGGGCTGGCTGGCAAGTAATAGTCATGCGACGACCTAGAGCACCCTTCTGGCTTTAACTTTGAAATAGTAATCTGCGCTAAATAGACTTTCTTCCTTCCGTCCGTTCGTCCGTCCTGTCTGTGTGTCTGCCTGTGAGTCTGAGGAGGAGAAGGCACTTTTGCTTGTAAGCCAACAAATTAATTAGTTTTCAACACTCGAGTTACTTTAAATGGCAATTCGTGTAATTAATTTCGCACACATTGACAGCCGGCACAAGCCTTGTGCATGCATGCACAAGGACGAGCGCAAGTGCAAAGCAAATCTAAATCATCATCAAATGCAGAAGCCAAAGGAGAAGTAGAAGGAGGAGGAGCAGCAGCAGCAGCAGCAGCAGCAGCAACCCTCAAGTTATCGGAAGTGTTCGTTTGGTATGCTAAAAGCAAAAGACCTGTGCAGGTCAGGGGCCATAGCCATAGCCACAGGACAGACACACACAAATACACACACACACACAGAGACAGACACACAGACGGAGACCCGTCCAAAGGAAGCAATTTTCTTGGTGAATGCGTTTGCACAAAGCGAAGATATTGCAAATACGGCAGATACGACGAGTGGACGAGTGTACAACTTCAAGTGTGGCAGCGGGAATGGGATGGATATACATATATATTGGGGAGGCAGGGATGGACACAGAAGGCCAGTCAGCCAGGACTCTCTCTCTCTCTCTCTCTCAGATATATCCAGATATATCCAGATATTCGCTCGCACAATCACTCAAACTGCAAAGAAATCAACTGCCAAAGTCATAAATTTTCGGTTTGCAAACTGCAAATTATTTCAGCATCAAGCAGCAGCCTCCCCTCCGCTCCTCTCCTCTCCTCTACGAGTGAGTATCTTCTGCCGCCTGACGTCCCTCGAGTAAAAGTTAAATAATGCAACGATGGCAAAACATGTGAGGATAGAAACGTAGCCCCGGGAAAGGGCTGGGGCACTGGCACTGGCACAGGCACGGGAAGGCGCCAGGAGCCACGACGAATGGGACAGACAGCCACTTTGATCGGCAGCAGGGGGGCGGCAGGAGCTGTGAAAAATTGTGCAGAAATATTTAAACTGCAATTTCAAAGCGATTTGTTTTATGGCCGAAGAGCCGGGGAATTGTTTCGTTGGCACGATGGTGCAGCATTTCCAGATCTCTCTCTAGCTCGGGCTCAGCATCCCCATCCCCATCCCCATCCGCATCCGCTTCCGGCATACGCTCCGCTGCACCCGACAGCGCGGAAAACTTAACTCGGATTTGATGTGGCCAAGCAGCTGTTAATGCTGCATGATTTATATCGAGGGGAAGAGCAGGGCCTGCTGCCAGGCAGCTAGCTCATTATATGCCACTAAATCAGGACTTTGGATTTCCAGATGCGCACCCAAGGGCAGGCACTGCATCTACATTTGCAGCACTTCGTCACTCTGCATTTTTTGGCAGTGGAACGCTGTGGAGTGCTGAGTGCTGAGTGCGGAGTCCGGAGTGGCGTAGTGAGAGGAGAGGAGGCGGCGGTGGTCAGTGCACTTCCACTTCCACTTCCGCTTCCGTCTGGCGGTCGTAAATTCTTCGCTCTGGCCGCTTTGCATGTCGTCCAGTTTATTATTTCATCGGGCCAGCCTCTGCGGCACATTCCCCATGCAACATCCAACATTCTGCATAGCTGCCAATTGTCATCGCTGTGGCCTCCAAGTCCGCCGCGTTCGTCGCATCCGTCGCATCCGTCGTGCCGGCTGGCCCAGCTCCTACGTCCTGATGGACGCTTGTAATGCGAGGAGACCCCTGGCCTGGGCATTGTGTGCCTCTGCATCCACTTTCCTTGTTGCACCGTCGCCTGCTGGCTGCTGGCGTGTGGAAAATGATTTGTTTGGCCGCCGACTGCAGTGGGCCTCGGTTTCTCGTCCGCGATAAATCAACACTCAAACATGGCCGCCGCCGCCGCCGCCGCAGACAACGCAACCCTCGAGCCGCGTGTGATCTATTTTGGGGCACAGCACGGCACCCACTAAGTCCCCCCCCCCCCCAACTACTCGTATCCGTGGATTACTGTGTGCCCTCGTGCATTAGTGCGAAATTAGAACTATTATATTTATAGCGCAAATAGTCCGCACATAATTCCACAGCGAGCGGCAAGCAGGTAAAAGGCGAGAGGTACGAGTAAAAGCCAAAAAGGGAGCCAAAAGGCCCATATCCACATATCCACAGAGCCATTAGACACGCCTGCCAGTCGCCGTAGCCATAGCCGTAGCCGTAGCAATGGCCCGTAGCCCCATAGCCGTCGCTGTCTCTGGCGTTCAGATGTAATAAAAACATAAAATGTTGCACATTATGCAAACAAACACACACATGCACACACGTAGTTACCAACACTGACACACATTTAAATACACGCCAAAAGGGAAAGAAGGAGGGAAAGGGAAGGAAGGAAGGAAGGACTCGGGACTTGCCGCAGCGATGGAAGCGATGGAAGATTTCAGCTTTGACGGTGGCGCCGCATGTCTAACGTTTCGTTCGCCATTTACATACACAGCCGCAAGGACACAGGCAGGACACACAGATACTCCTACTCGCACTCGCACTCGCACTCGTAGTCGTAGTCATACCTTCTGTGGGGCCAAGCAAAACCCACCAAAGTCTGCCACTAGGCTCTCTGTAGCTCTCTGTGTGTGTGTGTGTGTGTGTGCGGAGAGAACATTAAATTTATTTGAAATTATTATTATGCGCATTTACCTAACATTTGCATAACCGTCGACGGTGTGTGTCTGTGCGGCAGTGTGCGGTGTGGCACAGTGAGCCGCCGCTCTGTGGGCCAATTTGTGAGTAAAATGTGGTCGGAGAGAGAGAGGAGAACTGGGCCAAGAGCTTATAATTTGATTGAAAACTCCGCACGAGAAGTCTGGATTTAGAGATTCAGAAATCCAGAGATGCACCCCGGCCTGGGGGAATCCTTCACCCACTACAGACTGCCGCGGCCACTCCACTAGCTGCCAGGACATTTATCACGCCGCGGGGCAGTCGAACGCTCCAAATATTTTGTCAATTTTATGGGCAAAACAATATTAAGCATTCGCTTAATGCTTTAGTTTATGGCTTTAGTTGACCAACAAACATAAATAAGCTGTGGCGAAAAAATGAGAAATGGAAACACCGCAGAAACCAGAAAAACAGAAGAGCAGAAAAAAAACGGAGCAGAGAATTGGAAAATGAAAACATGGCGCATAAATTACCGCTCGGCTCGTGTACGAAATGTGCACTAGATTCTCCTGCTGCCAGCACACACAAGGATGCACACACATCGGAAAATTGTTTTAAATAATTAAATGCTGGCTCTGCACTTATTTACACCATTTACCAAAACAGAGTCCGGCCTGGGCTGAAAAGCGAGTGGAATGGACTGTCGCTTGGGCTTGGGAATACCCTACCGGCCGACTGCCCCCAAGTGCTGTACAGTGCTGGATGGTGTCGCTCTGGCCGTTACTCTCCCATGTGTGCATAGTAGTCATATTTGATACACTGGGGCATGTGGGGCATAAACTCGCACTCGTACACAGAGTTAAATCATATAAATACGAGTATTGCTCTCACAATGTGGGTTTGCTGCTGGTCTTTCATGTTTTATTGGGCTGCTGCTGGAGGGCGGTTCTCCTTCCTAGAGTCCTTGTGGGAGGAAGTAGTCCAGGGAGAAGGACTGCTTGCCCATCGTGCAGCTATCCTTGCCTTTGTGGTCGAAATTAATGTCAAACTCCAATCCGTAAATGTTCTTCAGGCTCGGCTTCAGACTGAATATTCCCCGTATGACCTCCTCCGGGCCGACGGTCAGTGGGGCCTTCAGGTAGAAAACGGTCTGGTTCCAGTGGGTCCAGGGGGCATGCGGCGACGTGCTGAGGCAGACGCGATTTGGCGACTGCCCGAAACAAACATCGAAGAAGGCGAAGAGGGCGCGCACCTGTCCGCTGCGCGTGACTTTCAGCTCGTAGTGGGTGCGCGTGAAGCAGGAGTGGTGGGGGGCGGTGTACAGGTCCAGCGCCTTCAGCAAGACGACCTTGCTCATCAGCTGGCGTGCATCGACGTGCTGCACCACGGCCGTGCTCTCGCAGCTGCGACGGATGGCCCCCATGTTGATGTCGTACAAATCGTTCCACTGGTCGAGGTCCTGGCCGGCCTCACCCTTCTGACCCGTGATGGCGCCCAGGTACAGCTGTGCGGAGTCCGGGAAGATTAGTCCCCCAGGTGCCAGCCACTTGTCCCGGGCAAATATCAGCGATTCCAGCATGTTCTCCGAGAACAGGCAGTAGCTGCGGATGCCACCAGACGTGAGGGTTAGCAGTGGGGAAAATGGGAAATACGTTTCGGGGACCGGTACCACCTACCCCATCCAGTCGCAGAGTATAATGTCGACCTGCTCAATGCCCTCGGGAAGCTCTATGTCCTCCACCTTTCCTCTGATCACCGTGATGACGTCCGCGTATGAATTGTCCAGCACTATGTGGCGGGTGTATTCCGCAATGCTAGCCGCATCCACGGCTATCACCCTGCGTGCCCCCGCCTCGGCAGCGAACAGCGACAGCGTGCCCAGGCCGCAGCCCACGTCCAGAACCGTCTTGGGGGGGGTGGGGGCTAATCAGTAGGCTCCTCATCTCAGCTGAGACTGGCAGGCGCACTCACCTTGTTCCTGAATGCCGCCTTGTTGCAGCGAATGGCCGAGCGGTAGGCCGCGTTCCGTGCCGAATCCTTTAGCAGCCACTCCTGCACCTCCAGGCGGGAGTACATCTTGATGTACAGGGCCTCCTGCAGTCGATAATCACGCACGCAGTCGCCATCTGCCATCTCTTCGTTATTTTCCATTTTCTCCGAGCCCGACATTTGTTCCATCTCAATTTTCCTACGACTGAGCCGAATGTTGATTTTTGCCAAATCAACTCTGATTTTGACATTCAACGCAAAGGCATCCTGATGACTCTCGGCAAACACTTTCGGGCGGAATCTTGGCTTTCTGTTGCTTTTTCATAATTAATTCCTTAAATGGCGGGCAGCGCCCCCCGCCCCATGCCACGCCACGCCCCGCCCCGCACGTGCATTAACTAATTAAAAATCTCATTAGCGTGCATAAATCAGCGTTATGCAGAACATAAATTGTATTATTACGAGTACATCCAGGCAGACAGAGCAGCGCAAGGCAGAGCAGACCGTCGCCCTGACCTACTGCCACGTACAATGGACAGCGGACAATGGACTGTGGACAGTGGACAACGGATAATGGTGGCTGTGCCGGGGACGAATGATGATGAGATGGCGAAAGATTGCTGCTGGAAACCGGGTCGCGGCAAACAGAGTTTGGAAGGAAGCAGGGGGCAGGCCATGCCAGAACAGGCCGGGACGGGCCGAGCCGGGCCGGGGATATCATTCACAGCATCATCGTCCTGCCAGGCTCCTCCTACTATCCCTGGGAAAACAATGTCTTCGTCTAGTCTTTGCTCGCAATTATGGCCACCACACTGCTTCCGGACATTCCCCAATTCGATTGTGGGAAAGAAAGTGAAAAGTGAAAGATGCCACCGCCGCTGCCGCCCCTCTGCCTGCTGACTGCTGACTGCCGACTGTTGACTGCCGACTGCTGGGAGCAATCGCACTCTGAGAATGTTGGATTCTTGACTTAAGCAGGGCACAGCAAAGCGTGAAAACATCATAAAGATGAAAAATTATTATCTGCTTCTTCTTCTGTTCGTCCGTCCGTCCGTCCGTCCTGGCATTGGTGGGAGTGTGGTGCTGCGGTGAAGCGGAATCGGGCGGGGGGTTCTACAGCATTTAGCTGCTCTGTTAGCGGCCCTGAATGAAATATCACATCCTGCAGAGGAATAAAAATCAGCGTCGGTAAAAATACACATAAGAAATAAGCAGGAAGCAGCCAGAGCTCGAACAGGAAAAGATACACACACACACACACACACAGACACACAGGGAAAGGGCCGATAAACGCTCGCAGCGTCAAAAGACAATGACGAGGCAGGGTCCGGGGATGGATGGGTCCGGGGCAGGGACTGGATCCGGGACTAGGGACAACATCTGGGGGCTGGAGAATATTAAGCCGAGAGCAAATACAAAATACAAAAAATAAAAAATAAAGCTGGCTGGCTGGCAGGCAGTGGGGCGGCGGGGTGTGGGTGGGTTGTGTATCCTGGGTCCGACCAGGCATCAAAAGTGACGAAAAATTGTTAAAATAAAATATAATGGCAAGGCAGTCTTTAGGCCAGAGCCTCTTTTTGGAGACGGAGACAGCGCGCTGTCCTGGACGTGGGCGATAATTTTTTATTTGTATGCCGGCCGTAAGCTAAAGGCAGGCCAGCATGAGGCTTCAAAGGGGTGAGGTGAGGCAGAGCCACACACACAGATGCAGGATACAGGGACTCAGGAGCACAGGAGACAGACAGATACACAGAAGCAAACACAAACACTTTGCGGCCATTGCCGTCAAGCTGCGCGTTATCCTTTGTGTAATTTCTGGTTTAATGAGGCGACATTGGAATGGACTTGCCTCCGCCTGCGCCTGTGCTTGTGCCTGTGCCACGGTGCCACGGTGCTAGGGTGCCATAGGTAACCATTTTTACACTCATACATTTTTACGAGCCGAGCATTAAGTTAAAATTTGTGTTAAATATTTTATTGTTTTTATGGGCACATGAACACCTTGCAGCAGCAGACACGAGCCACGAGCCGCCCAGCAAATTATGAGATTCCCGTAGCAAGGGCGGAGCAAGATCACAGACAATAATTCAGGCTCTGTCATGGCTGCCAGGACACTTTCTTGGCCAGGCAGAACACGTCCCTAGATTCCCTCCGGACAGGGAATAGCACCACCCGTACCCCCATCTCTGTCTCTGTCTCTGTCTCAGTCTCAGTCCCAGTCTGTCCACGTGCGTGTGGCCATTAATAGTTGTGCAACTGTCCGTTGCCCCTTTCCCCCTGCAGATTGGTGCCACAGAACAAGGCAATCTTCTCACTGCTTTGTTCGGAGCACAAATTGTGATTTCGGCGATTATGAAATTGCCAATTAGTTGCCTTCGCCTCGGTCCCAGCTCCCAGCTACCAGGTCTCTGGTCTCTCTGGTCTTTCTGGTCTCAGGTGTGTCGGCTGTCGGAGTGACAGCTGCGAAAGCTTGAGTCATCCCTTGATAGGTGGAACATATGGCGTTACTTCTTTCAGCTTTAAGGAGCGAACACACTTGACAGCAACGAACATCAGCAGAGCATCAACTTGTAGACGAATAAAACATTCGGCTGGCGGCTCTTTCGATCCTGGGACAAATTAGTCGATGCATCAACGAAGGAACATCTATTCCAGACCTATTAGCTGGGTGGGAGGGGTGGTGGGGGGACGCACGAGTGAATTATGATTACGGCTGAGGGCGGATGGGTTTTTATGGCAGTATTTGCAGATTTATTGCAGCTAAAAATCAGCGCTAATATAATGCATAAATCAGGCTGCTTAAGTCAACATATACTGCTGCCTCAATTGGGCATAAATACTGCACCAAGTCCCCGCCCCGCCTCGCCTCGGCCTCTGCCACCATCCTCTGCTGCTTGGCTCCTTGGGTCCCGTGTCTACGACGACTAGATACGACCTGGGTTCGGTCTGGCCCGTGAACCAAGTGAAATTCAGCGAAAACGAAATATTTTGGCAGCGTCGGAGGTCTTCGTGGGAGCTGTGGGTAGGGGTAGGCTTTTGGGGCGGCATCACGTCTCCGCCTTGCTCTCGCGACAGACAGCGAGAGAGAGAGAGAGAGCTCCAGAGAGGCGTGCAGCCTGGCGCAGGCGCTGTGGCTGTCCGCCTTCCAGTTGCTCCGCTCCGTAGTGGAGTCCGGAGTCCGCTCTCGGTCCGCGTCTGCAAGGGAAATATTTTGGGAGTCGAAAGCAGCGAAACTTCTTCTTCGAAACTCTCACAGCAGATGTTCGCTAATTAAAATATTGCATCGTAGGTCAAGTCGTGAGAACTTTATGACTTGCCAAAATATCAGACAAAAGGTCCATCATCAGCAGCAGCACCAAAGGCAGCAGCCTAAGGCCGGTGCAATGAAGAGCCCTGCAATGAAGAGTGGAAGAGTGCAGGTAGGCTCGACTCGGCCACAGATGCTGGACAGCATTCCCATAGCGGGTCCATAATTAAAAACCCATTTATCAGAGGGGGAGAGTTAGAGGTGGTAGAGAGGGAGCGAGAGGGCAGCATTCGCTCCACAAATTATCCAATTATCTGCCCCGACAGGGGACTGTTACGGTTCTACGGCTACTCAAATAGAAACACACCGAGTGTACGCTGGTGTTTGGCGTTTAACACATTTCCACATGGCTGAAGAGCTGGCCCCTCAGAAGAGGCCGCTGCTGTGAGCTGGGCTTTTCAACGGGTTGCGCATGCGCCTGCCCTGCCGCGTTTTCTGTGCGCCCATAGCATGAAAGCCAACTCCAAGCCAAGCCAAGCCAAGCCAACTCCAAGCCAAGCCAAGTCTCCAGAGTGGGAAACGAGTTGGCCAGAACCGCACAGAACTGAAAACTGAAACTGGTTTTTGGGTCACTTCGAAAGGGCCGGCCGCCCCGACGAACAGGTAAACTCGAGATAATTATTCAATGGACGGCGAATCGAGGCCTTTCGGTTCTCCGTTGTTCGTTCTCCGTTCGCGGTTCTCAGGGCTCGCTCCAGAAAAGGGCAAAGCCAAAAGGGTTAAAGAGGGAGACAGGGAGAACCGAACGAAATCCCGAATCCGACTGTCCAGACAGGTTAGTCGTCAGCGGCGGCGAAAGGTAAGCCCCGAGCAGCATCAGAGTATAAGAGATTCCGCCTGCCGCCTGCCGCCTGCTCTTTGCGCACGTTCACTCTCTGCTCTTACTCTCGCGCTCGTTCCCGCTCTCGCACTCTCTCTCTCGCTCTCCGGAAGTTGTGGTGGCTGCAATGCTGGCGTCGCGTCGCGTCCGCCTATGGACGCTTTATTCCTCAATTGTTATTCTGCGGCGTCGTACGTGAGCGCGGACTGAATCGTCGTCGAATCTCAATTTCAATCCGTATCTGAATCTGAATCGCAGCGTTTAGTGTCTCTGTCGGTTGTTGTAAGTGCTGTTGTGTTGTCTCTGTTTATGTGTGACCACCACCACCACCACCCCCACCCATCTCGCTCGCTTACTCTCTTTACCTGTCCCTGTGTCTGTGTCTCTGTGTGTGTGTTTGACTCGGAAAATTGTACAAAATATGGATACGAAATTGATTAACAAAATCCGCTGAGGAAAAGCGGCTACGGAGCGGCAATCAAGCGGAACGTAGTAGAATCAGTAGCAGCCCCCCCCCCCTGCCCTGGGCCCAAGGGGTGGGTACACCCCTCGTGAGTGAGTGTGCGTGCGTGCGTGAGTGTGTGCACTTAAAACAAAAAATAAGAAGCGAAAATCGAATGGATATTTGCATGTGTTTTCGACAATTTTCACGCTCAGAATCAGAATCAGAATCAAAACCAGAACCAGCGACAGAGCCAGAGCCAGAGCCAGGACCACACCCGCGCGGGTGCACAGCCTGAAAAAGGAAAAACCTACAGCCGCTGTAGGAGAAAAGCCAAAGAAAAACAGCAAAACCAGCAGCAGAGCAAAAGTCTGTAGAAGAAAAATTCCAGTTTCGTAAGGATCGCAAAGCGAGAGAGTGGCAGAGTGGCAGAGCGGGAGAGAGAGCCAGAGCTGCTCAGTGGTGTGCCCCAAGAGAGCGAGAGAGAATGAGAGTTCGAGAGTTGACTGGAAGTTCTCCCACACCAACGAAAAGGGGAGGGAGCTGTGGCAAGGATTTTCGCGACAGTTGCGCAAGTGGAAAAAATTCCCGTTATTATGGAATTTTCACTGCACGAAAACCGTTACGCATCAGCTGTTGGCTCTGCGGAAGTGGAATGACATTGAAAGAAGACTAAAGAGTAAATCTGAGAAAATCCTCCATCAAAGGATATCCGATATTCGTTGTGGCTTGGGCAAAGAGTATTTCCCAAGTGCAGCCCCCAACAATATGAAAGAATTTTAAAGTTTTTGGCTTTTCGGAGAGGGAAGGCCAAAATAAAACCCAATATTTTGCTGCTGGTCTTCGTTCCCCTGGAAAACTGGTACTTGTCCCCTCACTCCCTCTCTGCCACTGCCAGTGCCTCTGATTCTCGCTCTGGCTGTGGCTCTGCCCCTGTGCAGCGCTTTTCCAACGCTGAGAGGCAAGGCAGCAAGCAGCACGACGAGCTGGCCGTGTGGCTCCACAGCCAAACAGTCGCAAGTCTCGAAACGGCAATTGGTGTGGCGGTGCGACGTGTGGCACAGCTGTGTGGAGTAGCTGCTACTGTGATTTTCTGGCAGACCGTGCGCTCTGGAGTAAGGGGCAAAAAACCCAAGAACAAAGGCAAGCGGCAAGCGGCAGGCGCCAGCCCTCGCGGAGGGAGCATGCTAATAAAGTGTCCTAATGCCACAATTATATAATGTACGTACGTACTCCTTGATGTGGCGGCAGCAATTACAACGGCAAAGACAAAGGCGTGACCCTCGCGCCCCAATGCCGCCGCATGAGTCACGTGCGTGCAACTGTGTGTGTGTGTGTGTGTGTGTGACAGTATCTGTGTGTTTGTGTGTGTCAGAGTGCCAAAGGACCTGCTGCGAATAGGACATCAAAAGTGGCAGACAATCGAAAACAATCGAGGCGTCGAGAGCCCCTTTTGTTGACCAAAAACCCCAAGCCCCCAGACCCCAGACCCCAGACGTCGGACCAGACGCGATTACAACATCAAATGCGAATAGTCGTATATTTTCTTATTTTTACGCCATATTGATTTTATTTTTGTTGTGCATAAAAGCCGCGCCTCTCCACAGCCGTCTCTCTGTGTGTGTGTGTGTGTGTGTGTGTGTGTTTATGCCCCGTCTTATGTCTTATGCTTTCCCTTTGTTCTCGGGCCCCTCCCACCACCCCGAATCCTACCATCCTGCCCACCAATCAACCAAAGAATAACATAAAAATGGTCCTTCCTTTGTGCTGCAGCCCACGTAAAAAGTCAACGGCCACGACTACGGCATCGGTTTCAAAGTCCTTCGTCCTTCATGCTTCATCGTTCATCAGACGCATATCCAAGTGAATGCTTGAATGCTTGAAGGGAAAGTGTCATAAAGCGTGCGATTATCCTGTAAACAAAGTGTAAAACGCGCACAAAGCAACAACAGAACAGAACAGCACAGCCATCACAGCCCCCCGTCAGCATCAAGAACAACATCCACAGCCACATTCAGGAGTTCCAGCGCCAGGTCCTGCTCCAATAAAACCCCCATTTACCATTTGGAGTGCATGAAAAGCGGGAAAGCGGGAGAGCGGAAAGAACAAAAGCAAACACTGCGAACGGAAGGCGGAATCATAACAGGGGAACGGCAACGGAACGGAACGGAGAAGGCAACCCCTGTCGGATTCAGGATTTTTACGACCTGAGCAATCAATTCTGCTGAGCTGTGCGTTTCTGCTGGTCAGGGAGAACGAGAAGCTTCGCCTGTTATCCGCCGCCCCCCCACTCGAGAGCAGCACTATTGGTATCTGGATCTGAACACATCGTATAATGGTTGCCCAACTGAGGTGAGTCACACTCGGAACAGCATAGCACAGCGACCGACCGACCAGCCGACCGAATCTATCTACATAAACATGCTGCCAATTTTCAATATTCGAGCAGCACTGCCCCGGGGGAAAACGAGACTGCATAAATGTTAGGCCGGGAGAAAAACTGTGTGTTGCTCCGCAGGGAAAACGAAAACTAGACAAAGGGGTGGAATTTTGCCAATACTCGGGCGGGGACTGAGCAGGCCCAACAGCTGAACAAAGCAATCAAATACTGCCGACGTCCGGGGGCTAAAATTTAATTAAAATTTATGAAATTTTCAATTACATTGGCAAGTGTAAATAAGTGCGAATGCGAGCATTATGGCACAATTCAATTACAAAATATATTTGAGGCCAGAAAAAACTCACGCACACGCACACACTCTCACTCACACTTACACACTCATCGAAAAATCAACAAATAAAAAAAAAGTGGGCCAGAAAACAAACGTCAGGGAAAATGCCAGCCAGCCAGCCAGCCAGCCAGTACCAGTACTTGGACAAGCAGTGCAACGTGTTTGGCCGCCGGAGAGTGATAGAGACAGAGAGAGAGAGAGAGAGGCAAAACGAAAGGAAAGGGAGCTTGATTGGTTTTGTGGCTTTGAGGGGACATCCTCCTCAGTCTTCAAGCCCCGGGAATGATATTGAGACAGAGACAGAGACAGAGAGACCGGACAGCTGGGACAGATGGTCAATGCAATTGGAAATACTCGTAACGAAGCAACAAACATGTGTAACCGATGACGACGACGAGACTACGACAAAGGGCCAGAGTTATTAGTGGCATCTGTGGATGTGGATGTGGATATGGATATGGATGTGGACTGTGGCCCAGAGATGGGCCCAGGAAATTGAAATTCCCATAAACGGAGACACAACACAGACCAAAGAAAGGGGAAACTGAGATAAAACTGCGTTTTTCGCTTGACTAAACTCTCTGTCTCTCTCTGCCTCTTCTCCTTGTCTCTATTCTGTCTGTCTCTATTCTGTCTGTTGTGTATTTGTGTCTCGGGCATTTCTGCAATCATTTATTCGAATTTCCACTTTCCGTCGGTGGCCGCAGGCCTCATTTCCAGGCAGAGACTATTTCAAAGCTCGATGGGTCTTCGAGTGGCTAATAATGATAAATGAAAGCGTCTCGCTCCGGTCGATGATGCGTCCCCAAGAAAGAAAGAAAGATAGAAAGGATTATTCCCCAGACACTGCCCCCCATTTGCAGATTTATTTACCCCGCTGTTGCGGGGTCACATGCCAGCAGCAGCAGCAGCAGCAGCAGCAGCAATCATCACCAAATCGATTTCTCATTACAAACGGAGTTGTATCGCCATCGCCATCCCCATTCGACTTTACATACGAGTACTGGCTGTAGGAGTGGGCGCCTTGCGTGACTGCTGGCTAAGGTCATATGCAGAGCAGAGGCAGAGGCATAGTCGGGGTCGCAGTCAGAGTCCAATAAAAAGCCAAAGCCTAAAGCCCCATTCAAACGGGTTATGGCGTATGATGACGTCGCTTGGCTCCACAGCCCCATAATGATAACGATATTTTCTCACGAATGCAGCCAAATCGGTGGAACAAAACATAAACAATGCGAGAAAAGTCCAAAGAAAACTTCGGATCGTAGCAGCACGGGGGGAACACTGGCCACTGGCCACTCGTCAGTCAGTCAGTGAGTCTGCTTAACGCTCGAGTATGTCTACGATTTGTGGTTCATTGGAATTTTGCTCGTGGATGGAGGGAGGATGGAGGTCTGCTATGCTCTGCTCTGTTAGGGGGCATCGTTTGTTATCCAATAACCAGAGCAAACCAGCGAGCTCCGACGCTCGAGCGATCGTATTCAGCGCGGAAGTCTGAGAACCGAACCGCAGAGAGCTTTGCTTTGGGTATACATACAGACATTCGGTTGGATCCAAAGTTGGCGCCCAAAAAACTGGCGCACATAATGAGGAGAGGCCTGAGCCTCAGGTGAGCGGTCCGGGGTCGGGGTCGGGTTCGGGTTCGGGGAGAGCTGAAACTTGAGTCCAAGCACACAAGCCAGAAACGTAGAGGGCGTAGAAGTTTTTGGAGGGAGAAGTTCAAGACTTGGAGATCGGCTTACAGTGGAGCTATGTACGAGAGAATCTCTGTCTATGGCTTATGTATCCGCATCAGTATCAGTGTGTGTGGGCTTATATACAGCATCGTCGAACTTCAGATTCGTATAAGAGAGCGCGGACTCCGACTCCGACTCAGACTCGACTCGAACTTGTTTTTCATTTCCAAAGCGACTCCGACTCCCCACTCAAGAGTCCGATAGATACACAGAATTTCCTGCAGCAGCCGCTCACTCTTCCTCGTGCGAGTGTGCGTGCGTGTGTGTGTGTGTGTATCTATGCTGAGCTCTGGATGAAAACAGAAAATGCAATTTGCTGTCGACGATCTTCGGTGCAGCAGCAGCGACATCCACACATCAGCAGACGTCAGACAGGTAGCCAGGGAAACCATTTCACAGATGCAGGGCTTCGACTGGTGGAAGGTGCAAGGTACACCATGCCACACTCTCGAGTCGAGTCGGGTCGGGTCGAGTGCGGCACCCACAACACATCAGGAAGGCAGTGACAGTGGCAGTGGCATGGGCAGGGGCATGGCATTTGCTTTTGTTGAGTTTTTACACTCCATTGGCAGTGAAGCGTTAAAATTGACCCAGTTGTTGATTTATTTTTACAGCTCTGCGAAAAGGGAGTCGTTGGGAATCGGTGGGTCAGCCAAAGGAGAGAGAGATGAGGCATGAGCATGTCGTGGCATTTCTTCTTATTTTCGCCTGCAACTGCAACATGGAAAACAATACCGAATTTTCGTTTTCAATTTCCATTGATATGCATGAAAATTCGAATTTCTGGATATTCGAGAGGGCGGGCGAGCGAGCGAGCGGTCGGCACGATTTGTGACTCGTTTCGCTTTAAGGTCCGCCAGCCAGCAGCCTGCAGTACACAGCTGCGGCGGCCGTGCACGAATGCATTTTCAATTTGCTGGCAAAATTCCGGCCTGCAATCGAGGGAATGGCAGGAGGTGGCAGCAGGGGGCGTGGGAAGGGAGCATGGAGCGGGGAGCAGGGGGCAGGGGGCAGGGGGCATGCAGCAACTTTGCAGTTAAAGTTGAAAATTGTTTGCATTTTTTCGCTTGCGATAAAAAATAAGTACGAGGGTATATGCCGCTCGCGCTCTCCCGCCTGCCCCCAGAGAAGGCAACAAAGTACTGTCAGAGACAACTTTGCCCCTGCTGCCTGCTGCCTGCTCCCTGCCCACTGCCCCCAGCCCATCGTCACTGAGTGTCTCTCTTTTTGCTGCTTGCCTCTCTTTTAATAACTATGCGGGTTCTTCTTTTGTTTTCCTACGGCGCAAACTTCTGGCATGGCTAAAGAGAGAGGGCCTGGGTCCGGGACCGAAGTCAGCGGCAGTGGCAGCGGAATGTGGAAATGTTTAAGTGGAAAGTCAGTGGAAATTAAAATATTTCCATACTGCAAAAATGCGCGGACTTTAAGGACTTTTAAGACTGCGACTTCAACTTCAAATAAAAAAGGGAAAAGAAAGGGACTCACCGAGAAGGTCCAGCCATAATGGTTAACCAATACCAAAAAGCGGCCACAAATGGCGAGCCACTCGCACCCTGCAGCCCACCCGCAACTAGCCCCCTGCCTGCTGCGGACCCTGTGTTGTAAAGTAAAGTGTTCGGTGTTCATTATTTCGTAGTGGCCATTAAAGTAATTTGCCACACTTGTCGCCGGCCATTAGGCCCCATTAAAGCGCAATCAGAAATCTTGTACCCCGCCCACGCCCTCAAAGGCCACTCCTCGCCTTGACCAGAAGGTCCCCCCCTCCACGCTCTTCACTCTGCCCCCAGCACTCTTCACTCTGCTACTGCCGATACTCGAGTATCAATTTGAACAACGAAAAAGTTGCCAAAGTTTCCGATGCACGAACCCTTTTTATTAGTTTTGAGATATCGACAGGACCAGGACCCCCCGACCCCCGCCAGCCAGCCAGCCAGAGCCAGAGCCAGAGTCAGAGTAGAGGCAGCAAGAGAGTGAGGACCAGCTTTTAATAAGGACATTCAGGCCACAACAGCAAATAGTTCAATGGACTCGTCAAATGCTCCTGGTCCTGGTATTGTTGGGCATTGGCTGAAGTGGGTGAGAGCGAGGGAGAGGGAGAGTGTGGAGGCGCTGTGTGCCTTTTCCGCTTGCTTTTGTATGAAACATAAGACGCAGCTTAGTCCCAGTCCCAGACCCAGACCCAGACCCGCTGAAAAATCAATAACCTGCCAAAGTGCTGCCCTCCCGCGCTCTCTCACTCTCTGGTATATGAATGAGTATTACAAAAAATAGGAACCCGTGGCAGTGCCCGCTACCTACACACACACACACACAAACAAAACAGAACATCTGCATCTGGCCTAAAGGGAACGGAACGGAACGCCGCCGCATGGGCGAAACTGTTTACAGAACTTGGCCAAGTTTCGCAGGCAGCCTCGGCCCCGGCATCCGCAGCGCAGGGCAGCGTCGTGGCGTCTGCAGCTTGGTATTGGGCAAGGCGTTGTGTTGTTTGCTTATTCAATTTGGAGCTGTTTGAACGGTGCTGATATGCCCATTACAAGGTACAGCACATGACATATACGTAATTACGTTTGTCGCTGACACGCCACTCCACTCCGTGGCGCTCCGCGGCACTCCGTGGTACACCGTGGCACTCCGTGGCACACTCCCACCCACCCATCCGATTGCCACTTTAAAGCATGGAAATTTATTTATTGCATAATGGGAAAAGTTTTGCACTTCAGTCATGATTTGCCTCTCCTCTCGCACCCTTCCACTGGCACCGTTCCTCCTGCTCCCGCTCCCGCTCCTGCTGCTGTCCTTGCTCTTGTTCTTGTGCTTCTCCTCCTTTTTTCCATCTTCATCTTCTTCCGCTATTCAACATTCAGCAGCATTTCAGCATTTGATG